CAAAGCGCAACGAATGCCGTCCCTCACCACCCCACACGTGGCCCCAGGTCACCTGCACCAAGAAAACCTCTGCGTACAGAGTCCGCATGGCGTAGCGCCCCATGCGCCGCGCGGCGTTGTAGGCCAGCCAGTTGCGCAGGCCCAGGGAGCGGTCTATTTCGGGGGCATACAGGATGAACTGGTAGTGCTCGGGGAAGCCTAGGGGTTTGAACACAGCAGGGGTGTGCCGGGCGTGAGCAGTCTGCGGGGTTGCTGGTGCAGCGGAAGACAGGGGCATGGGGCCAGTGCGTGCTTGCGTGTGCATGAGCCCTGCTTGCGGCCCTCCGCAACCCAAGGTTTGGGCCCCTGCGCCCTTGTCCAGACCCCCCAGGGCCTCATGTCAGTGCTGACGCCCGCCCGTCCGTCCTTCCCCTGTTCGTTCTTCTTAAACAGATGCACGCCGTTGCAGTAAAACACCCTTTTGGGAACCACATTGTCTGCACTGACAGATTACGGTGCAGAATAAGTCATGGCATGTAAAGCTGGTGCCTTCACCCCTCCCGGTACAATTCACACACGCCACAGACGCCCTGGCCCCCACGCAACCCCACTCCATCACTCACCCATGAACTCTATATCCGCCTTGCGGCTGGCGTTTCCCGGGTCCCTCACGTCCAGCGCGAAGCTCTTCTTCTGCTGGTCCTTGGCGCTGGAGGAGCCGCGGATGCGCACCCGGATCGGGACGTTGTAGTCGGCGCCGCCTGGTGGGGACGCCGCGGGGCGGCAATAATGGTGGGTGCGGTTGCGGACGGGACGCTCGCCGGCTGCACCGCCCGAAGCGTGCCAGGCGCCTCTGTTGCTGCCGGGCGGAGGGGTGGGGTTAGGACTGCACCTAACCTGCACGGTTGCCCTCAGCGGGTGCCCCAGCCCCCCAAATTCCCTCCGACCCCCAACATGTATTAAGCATGCATGATTGGGCTACCTGGCGCGTTGCAGGTGCACATGACGCCCGGAATCATGGTCTGGGCGGGCGGCAGGGTCACCCCCTTGGTGTCAATGATGACGACAGGCAGGTCAGCCGGGAAGCCAGAGGGCAGCGCCGCGCAGCAGGCGGGTCGCGGGGTCGCCGTGACGCGGGGCGTCCTGGTGGCGTTCTTGCCGCCTGGATCCTCTTCAGAGTCGGCTGCTGCTCCTGTCAAGAATAAAGGGAGATAGAGGTCACATCTCCTGTGTTTGGGCCGGCGGTTGGGGCAGGAGGAGCTGCCGTAGTATGGCGGTGAGAAGTGAGATCAGCACACTGTCAGAGCCCCGCGGGAGCTGGCGCGTGTGCGAATGCCGTGGGGCAATCAACCACGCACCAGGCAGGGCTGCTGCATGTGCATGGGGCTGCTTGGTGGCAGCTGTTGACTTCAGAGCTGGGGCTGGCTGAAGCAGGGTACGCCTCCCTGGGACGGCAGCGACGGCAACGATGGACAGTGCGGCAAGCACGCCTGGCAGCAGTAGAAGACGCCACGGTCCTCTCATCCTGCTGCCGTGCAGTCAACGAAGGCTTTCCGGCTTGAGCTATGCTCAGTGGCGCTGCCGTGCAATTGTAGCGGGCTCTTGCTGTGTTCTGGTGTCTCCCTTGGACGACTGTTTTGCACGCTATGAGATTATATTGTAGTGGCGTCTGTTGTTTGCGATACTGTAATGTTGAATCTCGCACATGGCCGAAGCGGCGATTCCTTGGCCTTCCGTTGAGCGCGAAGCTGTCGCAAAGAACCCAGTCAAGCATGCGATCGTGTTGCTGGTTGAAGATTCTTGGCTTTTTTTCCTACCCCAGGGCTATGCGCAAGAACAACACTTCTTGCCTGGCTGATGATGCTGCCTCCCTGCAGGTGCCCCAGCGCAGGCAGTCCCTGGTTGTCAGCCGGCTCTGTGTAAATCAGTATTGCCAAAATTTGGGCTCTACTTTGTGTATTTTGACCCCACAAACATCTTGTTCTCTGATTACAACACCACAACTGATGCACTTCAGATCCGATGGCAACAATGGGGCAAGGGCAGGCACTTGCAGTTAGCATGCACGCAACAATTGGCCTCTGCGTCACTGATCAACCGTTCGCAGCCGTGGCTGCGGCAATCATTCTGATCAAGTGCGCGGCGCACCCGTGGTAAAAGACCTTCCCAAGGGATGCTGCAAAAGGGTCAGCAGCGCCAACCGGAAGCAAGCCTTTAAACACACACAGCACTCTGGACACTCACAACTCTGCTGGGGCAAAGCAGCACCCCAGTTGACGTGCAATTGGTGTTGTGGGCCAAGCATTGTCAGCCACAGCCAGCGTTCAGTGCTGCGCGTCAGGCGCGCCCAAGGCAGGCAGTAGAGCCAGCGCTCGCGGACGGGAAAGCATGCATTCACACATGCGCGCGTGCGCACACGTCCGCATCAGGTTGCCTCGCAATCATGAGGTATAGAGTGAGGGACCGGCTGGTGTGAAAGGGGTTGGGGTAACATATGTTCAAAGGTTGGGTAAGCCGATGTTCTGAGCAACCGGCCTCAATGCAAACGGATCTTTTGCCTGCCACTCTGCAAACATGTTCTGTTGTGAAAAGGGCTCATTCATCAAAACGCCCATTCATCAAAACGCCCCGGCACAGCATGCATGCCGCATAATTGCTTTGCCGCTAGCCTCAACTTCCAACTCTTGAAGCTCAGGCACTGCACAGGGCCCTGCCAGCAAAATCTGCGCACACAACACCAGCACTGCACTCGCAATGATTCCCCCCAGGATACCGCTGGATACGCTTGTTGCGTGCCGTCGCAGGTCCCCCATGTCTGCGCCCCTCACGGCAGGTGCTCGCCCTCGACCATCGGCCGCGCGAAGAACGGCAGGCACCCGCCGGACGGCAGCCTGCGCGGCAGCGGCGCCGGCGCGCCGGGGCCGGCGGCCCCCTTGGCCCTCGCGGCGCCGCCCTTCCCGGCGTCGCCGGCCCCGGCCAGGAGTTCCTCTTGGAACGACCTCAGCCGCCTGAGGGCGCGGGTGAAGGAGCTGCTGCTGCGCTGCACGACGGCCATGACTGCAGCCGCCTCGCCGCTCGACCCCGAGGCGGAGCTGGTGCGCTGGGGCGGCGCCGGGGCCGCGGCCGCGGGCTGTGGCGGCGGCGACTGGGGGGAGGGGGGCTGGAGGGACAGGGGGCCGCCAAGGAGTGCGTACTGGGGCTGACGGCGGGGCGAGGGCGGCGGTGCCGATGGGGGTGCCGAGGGCGGGCCGTCTGACTCGGAGGCCGGCGCGAAGGGCTGGTGCGACAGGTGTGCGTGCGTCGGCAGCTGCGCCGGCGGCAGCACCGGCGCCGGCTCAGGAGGCTGCGCTATCGGAGCGAGGGCGGCCGCTGCGAATGGCGAGGCCGGCAGCGCCGCGAGGGGCGGCGGCGCGGGCGTGGGCGTGGCCGGCGGCGCTACGTGCTGCTCCGACGCGGCCTCCTCGGCTGCCGGCTGAGCGGGCGACGAGGTTGCAGAGGCCACCTGAGCGTCCAGCGGCGGCGATACCTCCTCGGACGGCACGTGTGCGCCATCCTCACTCTTAACGGCGCCGCCGCCCGCGCCCTGGAGGCCGCGCTGCTTGCGACGGCGCGGCCGAGGCAGCCAGCGGCGCAGCGCCCGAGCTGCACCTGCGAGCCGCCCGTGGCGCGCCGCCACGGCGCCCGCCCCTACAAGAAGAACTGCCGCCCCAGCAAGGGCCAGGCCTGCTGTTGCGCCGCGGCCGCGGCGGCGTGGCTGAGGGGCCTTATGCGCCGATGCAGAGGCATCCTGCAGCCTCGACGCATGCAGGCGCTGCGGGCCCAACTGCGTCTCGCGACCCCTGTGCAGCTTATTCAGGAAACTTGCGATCAAGTCTACCTCGGACGTCATTATAGGTCAAATACGGCCCCAGAGAGCCGCGGAGTGCTCAGCAACTGGCCGCTCACGACACGCAGATCGCGAGATCTCACTTTTTGAAGTCGCGAGGCTGCCTTGTTATGACCTTTTGATATCAATCCTGTACAACATGGCATCAATGTGGGATATTCAGGCTCTGTACACGTTGTAGGCAGTGCAACAGGTGCACCCTCTTGCACGCATCCAACCTCCATGCAAGGACTTCAACTTCCATGGCTCATGGTGCCTGAAGGGACCCTTGCGATGACGCAGCTGCCTGAACTAGAATCCGATGCAAACCAGGTCTTTACAGTTTTGTGCCTGCATTTCCTGCGTTGCTGTGTGGTTGAGCCAGCCCTGCATTCGTGAGCAATGGGGAGCGGGCTCGAGCAGCGGCCCAGGATGAAACATAAAGTGAAAGCTCTGCTACTGCGCCGCTGCTTCCTCCAAAGATTTCTATGCATCAGCGAAAGCAGTACAAGCTAAGAAAATGAATGTCAATTGACGAAATTGTGGTCGTTACGTGGCTGCAGGTCAGCAGCCACAACGGTGGCCACAGCCAGGCACAGGCACGAATGGGGGCAAGCACAAAGCAGCCACGGTTTCACGGCCCGCCGACAAAGCAAGCGCCCGACGATGGTGCCGTGCGGCTATTGTGAGGGTACAGAGAGCGCCAAGTTGGCGCAATGAAGTATAATGTATACGCTGCGACGGCGGCGCAGCTTGCACCCTCGAAGCAGCAGGCTAAACCCCCGTCGCTCAGAAAACCCAAACCTCCAATGGGCGGACTGCACCGTATCCCGTTGTCCAGCAGCTGGCTGGCTCGCCATCAGGCCCCCGTGATGGAAACAAGAGATGAAAAACGCAGCAGGTACAGGGACCAGACTGTGGACCACGCCGTAAGCAACGCCTGTGCACGGGCTCGGTGCTGGCCAACGACGCTCGACCATAGAACTGTAAGGCTCGCGAGCGGCCCGCCGGCCCGCGAGCCGCGGGCTGAGCGGCGGCTGCGCCGAGATTCACAAGGAGACAGCGCCGCAGCGACAGCCATGGCCATGTCCTAAGCCGAGTGGGAGCGCCACGCCCGCCCCAGGTCTGGCCAAGCACGGGGCCGCGCCTCGCCCAGCTAGCTCTGGTCGCGCGCCGGGTCCCAGCGCTGCGCGAGGCCCAGGGCAGCCAGCTTTGGCCTGGCCCGCAGGTTCCAGGCGTGGTTGCGCCAGTCCCCAAAGGAGAGCCCCTGCAGCTGCGCCTGGTAATTGCCGGTCCACCCGGCGCGGTAGAGCTGCGGCCGAGGGTTGACAGCGAACGGGGCAGGAGCAGGGGCGTCAACCCTCGACGCCTCAACACAGACACTGCGCGCAGCCAGCCATGTGCCTGGCTTCTGGAGCGCAATCAGCTTCCCCAGAAAACAGGTTGGGCAGCCAAGCATAGCACATGCGGGGCCAGCGGCGTCAGCCACATCATAGCCCACCTTTGGCAGCTCTATCCCCCTCAGCAGGTAGTGGAAACCGTCCAGGTCTGGTGTCTTCCTGTCTCCCAGGGCCAGCCTCTCCTGGTAGTATGCGTCCCACCAGGGCATGCAGCGCAGCATGCGGATCCACTCGTACACCTACCGTTGGCATTGTGTGAAGGGGGCCGAGAGTTTGAAATGTGGCTTTTGAGCGTCGCAGTAAAGCCATGAGGACGATCATCAGCACCCACATACACCACGAGACGGCGACTGGGCTCGCATCCTCTGCGCACGCGGGATCCCTGTGTATGTCACCAGGTGCTGCATGCGGAGGGCCATGCTTCAAGGACGTTTGCGCGATGCACAGGGGACCCTTCACACCTTGTGCTCCAGGTCGTGGCCCAAGTGCTGCCGCATCCAGTCCTCCCAGTGGACAGGGCCTGGTAAGGGGGACAGCGCACGGTCAAGGGCGTCCAAAACAAGGCCAGATTTTTAAGGTGAAATGTCAACACACAAGTCTAAGCTTGCTGAAGCCAAGCGCCTTGCTTGGGACACGCCCCCTGGTGGCGCGCTAGCACTGCATCTGAGCGGTGTGCTGTGTGACGCCTGCTCGGAACATCCTGTGCAGGTCTCAACTGTGCTCTCGCTACCCGCCCCGCTACCACAATCCCAGGCTCACCTGGCAGCAGCACCTGCCACCGCCGCTGGTAGTGGAGCGAGAACTTCTCAGGCAACCGCATGTCCCACTTGTGGAGATTGGAGTGCAGAAACAGGGGGGCACCGCGCGTATCGTACTGCAAGAAGTTGCATGATTAGTCGTAGAAGCGGCATAATCAGTGGGTGTATTACATGTGTGGACGTATATTGTCTATAATCGTGTGTGTGTGCGTGTGTGTGTGTGTGCGTGTGTGTGTGTGTGTGTGTGTGTGTGTGTGTGTGCGCGTTCAAGGGAGAGAGGGGGGTCCAGGAAGTGAGAGAGGGGGTCAGCAAAAGGGAGAACGGTCCACGGACAACCCAAGATACAGAGGCGGGAACAACGTGGTGTTTCCAGGGAACGAGGGGGCGCGGTAGCTCAACAGCGTGACCATCGTGGGCAGAATGTCGCTGGTTGGTGGGTACGTCGTCGCAGTTTCTGATGGGCACCGTGCCGTGCACTGGTGCACACCTGCACCATGGTGTTGCCCGTGAACTCGTCCTTGCACAGGTGGGTGCGGCTGTTGCACGACATGGAGGTGCCTGTTTTGAGGGAGGGGGGTTGGGTGGGCGTGTATTGGGGGGAAGGGGTATGGATTGAGGGGGTAGGTGGGGACGAGGGCGAGGGAGATGCGGGGTACGGACCGTCGCACACGGCCGGCACATGCCTGCGGCAGGTGACAGGGTGCAGCAACGCCATCGCGCCAGCCACAACTACAAACTTCTTGATGTTTGGTGTAGATGCATGCGCATCTTGCGTTGTGCATGCCATTGGTGGATTGAGCTCTGGCCGGATCCCCCAATCCATCTTGGCACCAGGGTTGGTGTGGCGGCTGCCCAGAAGCTGCTGCGCCCTCACCCGTGGTTCCCAGTGACCCCGGTGGTGTCGTGATGACGTAGTAAGGCTCCCTGGCGGCCGCCATGCCGTAGGCAAAGGTCTCCTTGTCGCCCTTCCCGAGGAAGCAGGTGAAAACCTCGTACCTAAGGGGGGAGCGCAGAGGCGGGCTGTGTTGTGTGCACTGCAAATTCGGTCCACCCTGCGAGGCTTTTCCATGTAAGGTTGAGGGTGTGCCTAGTGCATTCGCCCTGTTCAACATGGCCAGCCGCGCGCCAGCACTGCCAGCACCGCCCACGCGCCCCTCACCAGAAGGAGGCGTAGGAGTTGAGCCACGCGGCGGTCAGGAGCCCCCGCCAGTGCCTCGCCTTGTCCACCACCATCTGGCCGCTCTCGAAGGAGCCGCGGAACCAGTCGGACCGCGGGACGCCCAGCATCTGCTCCGCCTGTGTCGTGTGGAAGGAAGCGGAAGTAGAAGGATTGCAGATCATGCACATGGTTTGGGGCTGCTGTTGTAGCGTGCGTGCATGCGTGCGCCCGCGCGCGCACGCGTGCCCGTGTGTGTGTGTGTGTGTGTGTGTGTGCGCGCACGCGCGCACGCTTGCGCGCTTCCTCTTTGCCAGGCTTTCAGCACCCCAGTCCAACGAAATTGACACTGTCTACCAAACCTCCACCCTAACCCTTCTTTGAGGACCCAGAATCCAATAGACACACAACTGGCACTGACCCAAAGAATCCACCTGCTCCGCCCGCCCCAGGCATCCCCCACCTCTGGCGCCACAGTGTTGTCCCAGAAGTCCTGCCACAGCAGCGCCCCCGTGGCGTTGTACTCGGGGCCGTCCAGAAGGTGAGCCGGGTCCTTCAGCGGGATGTTGTCTGCGTCCAGGTAGATCACCTGGCAGGGTGGGGTGGTCGGGGTGTGGGCTGGGTCAGCGTGTGGGTGCGGATTGCATGTGGCCAAAGCTGGAGCAGGTTTTGAGACAGGGGCCGGCTTCTGGGCGGTCTGGTCAAGAATCAAATGGCTGATGGCGGTGGAAAGGCGGCGGGACCTGCGTCCCCAGGGATCTGCGGTACGGGGCCGCCTGCATCCAGGGGCCAGGCAGCGCGGCGATCTGCGTGCGAGCCACTTGCTGCGCCCTCCGTCGCGGCAGGGGATGAGTGCGGCCTGCGGGGACCCCACCTCCTGGAAGCGCGAGAGCAGGATGGCCGCCACCTTGATGGTGAAGCGCGCCATGGTGTCATGGGGCGGGGCCTTGGGGTCGTGCTTGAAGGCCGTGATGTTGAGGCCCCTGGAGGAGGTCGGTTGTGGGTGGTGGCGGGTAGCTGTGGGTGTCTGTGTGGCTGTGTGATGCGACTTTTCTGGGCCTCAGGACAGCCACCCATGAGTGGGTCTGAGGGGTCCGCCGCGGCCGCGGCTGGCTCCCGTGGCTGCTTGCGCCAGTGGCTGCGGGCGCTGGCCGCCCTGGACACATCGGCGACCTCAGCAGGCTGCGGGGCGGCGCCGCCAACGCTCGTGTGGACCCGTGGGCTCTTCCATGCAGTTGCACGGCCGGCGACCGTCCCCACCTGAAGTCCAGCTTGCGGCTGGTGACGCCCAGCTTTGCGAAGGCGTCCACCACCGCCTGGGGCGGCCACTCGCTGATGGGGTACCACATCTCGATAGGCAGCTTGCAGCCTGCAGACGAGGGTGCGTGCATGCGAGCGCGTTTGCCCATGCATGCATGTTTGTGTGTGTGTGTGTGTGTGTGTGTGTGTGTGTGCGTGTGTGTGTGTGCGCCTGCGCGTGTGTGTGTCATCTGAAACACCTGTGCGACGCAGGGCGGCTTATCAGCTCCAGGCGCCCCAGCACTCCCCAGCCGCGCCCTCGCCGCTGGCCACGCAAACGCACCCGTGTGCCTCAGCTGGTGCACCATGATCCAGGCCGGGATGATGTACCGCATGCCGCCGCCGACGGTGACGACGCCCGCGCCAGAGAACGCGCCGCGCGGGTAGGTGGGCATCGCGGCCGAGTACGCCGCCAGCTGGGAGCGCACGTACTCGACAGTCGACCTGGGGAGGTGCCAGTGTCGAGCGCCGCTGAGCTTCGATCCAGGGCATGCGAAGAACGACGATCATTATGCTGATGCGCTGCGTGGCCCGCAGTCCACCGCGGTTGCAGGCCTCCAGGGCAACTGCATGGTTTGTTCCGTCTGGTCGCACCTCGCCCAGCTGCCTGGCGGCTGTTGCCTATCCACTGCACCGCCAGGCGAGTTGCCCTCACCTTGGTATGCTGCTGCCCTCGCGCACAAAGTCGTGCGTCGTGTTGCGCGTCCCCGGAGCCACCGCCGCTGGCACGCCTGCAGGTGCGTGCGCGATTGGCGGCCATCAGCGAGGCCCTTGGCACACAGCACCCCCGGCCGTTCAAGCTGGTGGCCGGCTTCAAGTGCGATGCGTTCAGCTGATCAACGGCAGGCGCGCCAGCCCCCGGCCTGATGGTGTTGCCTGCGCTTCTGCAAGTGATGCCTGCTGGTGGGCCGTGTGCATGCGGGCGCGGGCGGATGCCTCACCGTGCGCGTGCACCGCCGCTTGGATCTCCTCCCACAGGGGTGCCACCTTGGTCCTCTCCTTTGCGGGATCGGCCGACCAGTCAGCTGGCGCGTCAGGAATGCCCTTGAGGAAGCTTCTCAGCAGGTAGGGCACTGCGTGCAGCCATGTGGGGGCGGCGGTGGTGACGCGATGATACGCCACATGCACAGCATTAAGGTATCCTGGAACGAGCTTGGCGTGCACACGTGTGCCCACAGTTGCTCTGCGACCTTCATTCCTCTGCTGCGCAGGATGCAGGTGTCCGTGCCCCTGCAGCGAGCCGAGCGCTTCCAGAACCTCTTGGGGCGCCTGCACACCGTCATAAGGGCACGTGATGGGGGCTGGCATCGCCAGGGCGTCCGTGGGGTTGTACGCCAGCTCAGCACATTTTTGGCGGCAGGTGAACCGCTTGGGGCCGCATGTCACCCTGAGATTGGCCCGGTAAGCAAAGGGGTGCAGTTAGAAGGGAGGCCGAGCGCCGAGGCCCAGAATCGGCTCGCAAGGCGCGCAAAGCACCCTGCCAGCCGCCACCCCGCTGCTCCCAACAACTGCAGCCGCGATGCGCTGGCTCCGGCGTGCGCCCCACGCGCTGCCAATTGGGCAACTGCGAGTAGCCTTCATGCTGACCTGGCCGTCGTGACGTTGCCCTCACAGAGGCAGTACCCCGAGACCTGGGGCATGATCTCATCGTCGCAGCCCTTGTCGCCAGGGCCGTACCGCTCCCTGAACGGGAACGGGGTGTGGCGGACGCAACGCGCTGAGCTCGTCGCCACGCCTGCATGACCCTCGAGACGAGAGCCTGCAGCTTTTGGCACAGCAGGGTGTCTGATGAGGCCACGGGGGCAGCCGTTGGTTTAACGGCTTGCTGGAGCCATGCAGGTCCTCCTCTCCACCCAGTGGGCCCTGGCACAGCCGGCTGCACGCAAACACACTGCCAACACGCCGCCTCTGCTGCTTGTAAGTATTGCCATGGATATCGGGGTTGACTTAATCATTGCTTGCGCAGCGTGCGTGAGGCCTGGACAGGCACAGCACCTGCCCAAAGCGAAGCCCAACCGCCGTCCGAAGCGTTATCAACCAACCCCAACCGCCCGCCACGCACGCAAAGGGGTGGCAGAAGTAGGTCTCCCGCCAGCCAACGCACTGCTTAGCCCCTGGAAGTCCTGCCTGTATAAATGAAGTGTGGCCGTGGTCGTGCCACGAGTGCAGGCCCACAAGCAGCAGCAGCACCGTCCACGGCAGCACGACCAGCGCGCCGCACAGCGCGCGCGTCATGGCGGCGCGGCTCCACCTCGGACCAGTGCCACCGCTGCTGTAACCATTGCCGGGATAGCTGGGCAGGCGGGCGTAAGGCAGCCGCCCACCACCGCTGCGTTGGGACGAACGGCGGG